TGTGGTCTGGACAGGGACCAGACAGGGACAGAGTCAGAGACAAGGATCTGGACATGATTCCTCACTGGATTCCCACAAATGAACCACCTAACTACCAATCACGTAACAAGGGTCCAAATTACAGGTACTGTTACTTAGTGCCCTGATCTGTGTGCTACCTTAACTGACTCCAGCAACTGGCCCTTTAGTTCAGGTTGAACTTTTACCCTCTCACATATAAAAGGTGTAGAGACACCTGAACTCCTTTACCTGAGTTGGTGCTGAAAAACTATCAATAAAGTATGTAAGCAAGAGAAAACATGCAGGTTTTGATTGGCACAAGGAGCGCCAACAGTTCAAAACTTGCATCAGAGCACCTACAGAAAGCAGTGACGACACTCTGCAAAAACTCTTAAACAAGTGCAACAATAACATTTACAGCAAACTCATCCACATTTGCAGTACGCTCACTTCCTTCCTACCAAATAAATACTTGAGGACATTTTTAATAAGAACATTAACAGGCTGCTTCATTCACTCTTTAAATTTTCAGATAAGTTATTCAGACAGTGAAGGTCACAGGAAGGAATGTTTGGCATGATCTTCTACTCTGCAACCAACGATTAAGGTCAGGAGGGTTGACAGAAAAACTAGTATTTTCAAGTCTGTCATTGTGCACATGCAGAACACATCCTGGTGAAACTTGCTTTTGTGGCTTGGCTGTCGGGGGAGAGTGTTTGATGCACGAGGACTCAATGCCTACCACAAACCATTCAGCACCTCAACATCTCTGATGGTACACAGTAAAGGCACCCATTAAAAGACTGAATGGTTTAAGTGGCAAGAACCCCGGGCAAGAGACTCAGTAAACAGCCAACATCACCTGTATGCCATAAAATGACATAAAAAGCCGACTTAAAAAAAAATCGCTAATATTGATCAGTCTGAAAACTCTAAACACAAACAAACATCAAATGTTTGAAACTGACTGTGGGTCAGTACCTCTGCCCAACCACGCTGCACAAGGTGGCTGTGTTCAATAAGAATATTAACAAATACTAGCATATGCTGTCAAATAAAAAACATAGAACTATACTTATGACCCATGGGGCAATTAAATCAATTCAAAGCTCATAACATTACTTAGGAAATGTGGTCATGTCAGCCTTGAGAGAAAATTGGTTTTTATCTCAATTCTGAAAACATGACATTGAAATAATTGGTGGTATTGGTATTTTATCTCAACACAAAGGCATAAAATAACTGCAGGTTCACTCATTTTTTATTATAATTCCTAAATTGGTTCACAATAAGTAAGAAAGTAAAGGTCATCTACATTCAGCTTAGTGAACAGATTCAGCTTATCAGGCTAATGTTTAGTATTATGGAGTAATTAACTTTGGCTCCTTGTTGGAGTGATTTTAGACAATGCTGCAGTCTGCAGTGAACATTAATGCAGTCCCATTTCCCTTAATAATAAAGCTTTTAAGCCACAGCCTAATGGATACGATTCCTGCAACCTTCAAGAAATGTTTATAAAGATATTCCATTCAGCATTGACTTATGGAGTTAATAATGAACTCTACCATGCACACAATCAATTACAAAGACTGATGGCGTCATGCTTCAAAGGCGGAGAGGAGAATATCAAATTGTGTGCACCAACTAGTTGCAGTGATTCTAAAGAACAATTAGAGGAACAGAAGAAAAGGGAACTCGAAGCACACCTGATGGATGAGGCCAACGGACCAAAAACTAAATCCCACAGCATTTAAAGCAGACTAAAGTGATAAACAGTAACAAGTGATTCCTCCCAACTTAGATAAGAACACCTCTGAATTCCCACATCAATTCTCCTGCTGCATTGCACACCCGCACTCCACAGAATCTGATCCAAAGATTTTAAGCACTACTTTAGAACTTTTGTTTTCCCCCGACAGTCCAAAGAACCTGGACAAAGTCCAACTGGCAGCACATATAACCATCTTGGCTAATGATAAAGTAACCTGAATTTATGTTTATCTTCTTATCAAGATTAGAGATTCACCCGCATGCCCCTAGAGCACAATAATGTCTGCCTGACTCCAAACCAGCTTACAAAAATGACAAACATCGACAAGCCTTTGCTTTTACTGGAACTGAAATTGACTGAATCTTGCCTCATACATCTTGGCAGTATATTGACAGCAACAAATGGAAGACTGGAAATATGTGAATTGAGACAGAGAAGAAAGACATGGCGCTGGCAAACCATACAGTAGATAGAAAAGCCATTCGCTAATAGTCCCTCATTAATCTTTTAGGTTAGACACCCAGAATGTTTGCAGATTCTTGAGAGTAAAGTTTGATTCTCTTGACTCAGTCTAATGCTGAACTAGCGTGGTGGCGGTGGAGCCTAATCTGCATGCAAAGCTGTTGAAACGTCAAAGATAATTATGCAATGAAAATCAACCCTCACCATTCAGTGAACCAGTAATTATTTCAATGCAGCGTGTCTGAACACTAGCAGGCAGAGCTTTCAAACATGACGGTATAATTGTAACTGACCAAGCAAACACGGGCAGGAAAAGCACTCATCATACAGGAAGTGATTGATCACATAATTGTAGTTAACTTCTACCTCCACAAGCAATAGCATTTATTCTCAAGAGGGCTGATGAAAAGACAAAAAACTGCTGTTTCCCATTTTACAGAATGTCTCCGGTCACAAGAGATACCTAATAATTACAGTACCATCTGTTCGTAGGTGAATAATGAGGCAGCGCTCACACATTATAATTGTACGCACTATTTTTAAACTTACAATAACATTAGCAAATTAAAAGCATTGTAATTATCTTGTGATGTGTGACACCAGGGAGGTTCAGGCAAGCAGTTTGACTAGTGAAAGACATGCTCCCGGATTACTGATAGCTGCATCTTATCTGTTGCCATGGCAGTTGTTGTTAACAGCAGGGTAGATAACAGTCTGGAAAAAACTTTTCAGAAAGTTTATACTCCGAGACATGTCATAAAAGCTGTAACACATAAATATTGTACCTCATGCATCACCAGGGACAACGTCTCAGGTTTTACAGCACTAATAACTACAACTAAATAATGCGCTTATGATTCATTACACTGAATTCAATATGTGTTATGAGCAACACAGCGAGAGTGGTTACAGCCATTAGTCTTCAGTTACATACAAAACAAATGAAACAACATGGATTGCAGTATTGATGACCATTATTAACAGCGAAATTACCGTCAATTCATTCACCCCCACGCTGCCAAATATCCCCAGCCGTGGAACAAAAGCCTTTATGCAGTTTTATGTGAAAATATAATTTGGTTGATTTTTCACATTGCATATTGCAGGCCCGCACTTTAACTCACACAATGATGTCACTTATGATTCTGAGATCACTAATGGCCATGCATTCATTGGAATCCATCTGTGCTTTTACAGGCCTGCTTTTGCAAACATATTATTTATGCTCTTGCACGTCAGACACGTCATTCATCACAGCTGACATCTCCCATGAGCAGAATACGGGCGAGAAACCAAACCACTGCTATCTCTCTATGAAATATGAACAATTTCACAATTTAAATGTGAGAAAGGGTTTTGACAGAGTGCTGATGATGTGCATGCAAAAGCAACTTGCACCACGTTCGGCGATAGATGAAATGTGTGTGGCTGAAGGTAGCGGCTCCGAGCTTTTCAATCAATATCTCCAACGCCAGTGAGGCTGGGAACCATTAGCACCAGTGAGCCAAGTGAAGTGACACTGATGTGAAATGACAGGGCCTTTCACAGAAGCCGTCCTACTGTTTCCCTCATTGTCATTCACACACTGCACATGCACGCGCACACAGCTACCCTACATTGCAGCTACCCTCACCAGGCAACCGAGCACACTCATACTGTTGTTTTGTTTCCAGAAAATGTCTACATTCATTCATTTCAGCACTTATAAAGCCTCTCAGTTCCTCGAATACATGTCTATATTATTTTTGTCTTGTCATCTTGTCATGATCCTAATCAGCCAATTACTGTGGGAGTTATGAAGTAATGTCTTCTAGGAAAGCTTTAAACATATCCCATGAATTTTACTGGCAACCCGCATGCATTATGAAAGATATTCCATAGAAAGAAAAGTGGACTGTTTGACTACGGCAAATAGGTAAAACTATAGTGCAACACAAGCACATATTTTAAAACAACAACAAGAAAAGGCACTGTGGTCTTCCAAATGGGCGTTGCCTCATGCCCTAATCACCATATCCCTTTGTATCAGTGGTGCACAATATGGTTAACATGTGATCTGATATGGCACAGATGGTGATGTGTACAGCTTACAGAGACAGGCCTCCTGCAGGAGAAGTCCTCTAAAAACTTAAGTTTGACACATTTTTTTCTGCAGAAGATTAAATTCTGCATTTCACAGCTGGAGTGAACGTTAATTGAGTTCATTATAAAGTGAGCAAAGACTAAGAGGGGAAAATCGTGCTTTTACTCAAATCTGTGCTTATGTTTAAACCCCCCCACTGCTAATAATCACCTACAGACTGTCACATGGATCAAACACCTTCATAATAATCACTACAGCTGAATATTAATTGCATGCTAAGTGAGCACAACAGGCAAAAGAAGGGGGCGTTGGGTGCGGGATGGGTCGGGGGGGGGAGCCACGCCTTCCTCTCCACTTTCACATCAACACTTTTTGTTTTTATTTTTGATTTTTATTTCGGCGTATCGCAACTTGGGCCGGACACTTGGCCTACCTCTCTCCTCCTGCTTCTCTGCCCCCGGGTCGGTTGCATTGAACAAAAAAAAAAAAAAAAAAACCGCCTGTCACCGCAACACGGCCGCGTCCTCAACACGAACACGCAGTCCGGGAGCGACTCTCGCCCGGGGGAGCTCGACCACCCTCCAGCCGAGCCTCGTCCCAGGACCTCGACGGTTACGCCTCATGCCCCTCTGCCGCTGGGCCAGGTCCACTCCGGCACTGGCCTGCCCCTCCGGAGCCGCCTACTTTGGCCAGGGACGCGGGGATTCCCCGGACGACGGCGTGGGTGTAGTGACCAAAACCTGCCATTAAACCAGCCATGTTTTGCTCTCCCTTCACTTGGCACGCTCAAATCTGAAAAAAAAAAAAAAAAAAAGGACCGAAAAACACCCCAACAGACAACTCAGCGAATGAATGAGAGAAACTGCTATCAGTTAACCCGATGCTGCCTGCCTTGCTTGTGTGTTCCCTGTTAGTTTGTTGGCTTTGTATTCTTTATTTACAGTCGCCTGCTGCATACACTGTCAGTCAGCCCTGCTCCGGTCTCCAGGCGAGCGACGGCGCTTCGGTGACGCGCACCGACCATCACGTGTAGCCTGCGAGTCTGTCAGCCGTCAGTGAGGCGTTCAGCCCCAACAAGTGACAGTCCGAAACGCACTGAACCGCACTGAACCGCACTGAACCTATGGCTCCATCGATTTCACACTACATCAACAGAGTAGAGCCTGCGAGTCAAACTCTTACAGGCTCTTTAAATAACGAGAGAAATCAACAGGGTGTGCAGTTATGTCTCCATAGCACACTGCATATTTCTCTACTTACACTTTATAATAAGGGGTTCAAATCATATACTTAAGTAAGGCTTAACTGAAGCACAACTACTGCATGACTCAGTGATTTAATGCAGAATGTATCATGGACTCCATTAATAAATGCTCAATCCACTTTGGCTTTATAAGTTCACTCTTAATATCAGTTATCAGTTCAATCAAATAGCTTCATGTTTCCATGAGAATAAACCCAATGCTATTTTTGACACACTGTGGGTGGAACATAAGTATGATTTAACATCCCTTAACTGATAATCTATTTAGTGTGAACTTATCACAAAATGTCTCAGTGACTGGATCGTTTATTAATGGCGAGCAACAGGAATCCATGCTATAGCCTGCATTTAATCACTGTGAATCGATTTATCAGTAAGTTGAACAACAAGAAATGAATCATTAAACAATTATTTTGATAATCAATTAATAAATTCAGTCATTTTTCAAGCAAAAATAAAAAACACTACCTTGTAACGTCTCCATTTCTTTGGCTTATGTGATAATAAACTGAATATCTTTGGGTTTTAGACAGAGCAACTAATCTGAAGACCTCACATTGGGTTTTAAACACTTTTTTAGATCAAACAATTGGTTGATTTATTAAAAGGTATTCTTCAGTTGCAGCCCTAGAATCAATAGTGACTGTAAGCTTAAGTGTTGTCTGTATTTGGACCACTGTAATATTCCTCCAAAAGATTAGCTACATATATTGAGACACTTTCTAGAATTAGGTTACTATGAGTTGCTGAAATCCAAAGTGCAAAAAGCAGTAATGTGCATATGTACAGGGATATATAAAAAACATAAAATTATAGATTTATATATAGGAAAATCTTCTGGTCATGTGAAAAGATTATATATGACATCTGAAGTATATATAGGTTATATATATTTGGGTTCCATCTTGGTTTGACAACAAAAGGAGCAACACTAATCAATGTCGGCTCCAACTATTTGCCTGCAAAAAGGCAATAACCTAAAACCGTTGGAAACCTTCTACACTTAAACAATGAATGGACATAGTAAATGATATACTTGTAATGGGACAACTAAGGTTTCCCAGTGGAAAAAGAGGGAAACTGTTCCTAAAAAATGGGAGAAATGAAAGATCTTTACCGCAAACGACAAGGATGTTATCATATCTGGATCTTCATAAAGCTATAAACATAAAGACAGCAGAGTAAGAAATGTACGCCCCACTTGATTCCCATGCTTTTGTTAAAATACGTTTCAATAATTATAAACATAAGACTATAAGAGCACATTTCTATTCTTGAACCGGAGAATTTGGAGACATATGTTCACTTTTGGCAGACTTTATGAAATAATGTACACAAACTTCAAGGGCAAGGAATATATATCAAGGAGGATCTCTGCTTGTCCTGCAGTGTGAGAAGAGTGTGAAAGGAAGAGAAGTGCTGGTAAGTGTGTGTGCATGGGAGGAGGAAGGGAGGGCGTTATATTCCCTATGGTGCCATCTAAGGAAGGTTCTGGGCCCGGTGAAGCTGTCTGAATGGATGGAATGTTTCTTCAGACGTCCCAGAAGCACATTCTTCCACCGCGGGACCTCAGTTTGTCTTTTCTTGTTCCAAATTCACTCAATTATCCCCAACTGCTCTAAACATTCCAGGACATTCCAAGAGCCCCACATTCCTTTTTCCACTCCAGCCAGGATCGCCAACCACCACCACCCTCCTCCCGACACTAACACCTGCCCCCACCCAGACCTCTCCTTTTTTTCCATCATTCCTCATCATGGATGGACGTGGCCCAAGAAAAGACCCTCTCTTTTCTCCTTTCTCTCCATGCTGAGGAATTTGGGTTACTTTAGATGAAGGAAAGCCCTCATACTGTAGACACACCTGGCTGGTACATTGTGCGGCTATAAAAGAAATGAGTGAAAGCAGACACGATCCCCCAGCTGCGGATAAAGCGGCACCAAAAGCCGCACCTCTTATTTGTCTGGTATGATTGGACTCATGATGAGTTCCTGGTCGTCTAAAGTGACACAGTCATGCATGATTACACAGGTGCACAGAGCATATTTAACTCGAAGCGGTTTGGCACATTTATGAATCTCATTACCACGGAAAATAAAGTGATGAAATGATGAGATGAAATGATAAAATTGATGCTTATAGATGGAACAGGTTGTATTTTGAGGCATTTCGATAGCAGCTACAAATGGGATGGATTTTTTTTTCAGCTAAAAGATGACTACATTCAACAGTAATGGAAAAGACTAACATTTATCATCATGTACTATCATTTGGGCTATTTATGTGCACCTACGCCCACAACTGAGTGAAAGCAACATTTTAAATGGACCTTGGAGCTGTCAAAAAGCATTCTGAGAAATGCTTTGCAGTTAACAGGAAAATAGATACTATAGATACTAGTAGGTAGGTGAAACATACACTGCCATGCTGCCATAAAACACTAAAATACACCGAATGTGTACAAATCCGCATCTGAAAGTGGTTTAAAACAAATGCACCATTTACTCCTGTTGCTAATGCCAAGCTGCTTTGTGACAGTTTGTGCTTTTTCATTTTCATTTTCTTTGTTGGTTTTTGGTCTTTTCAGGATTTGTTGACAATAAGAAATTATAAAATATCTCCATCACTATCCTCTAAGTGCCGTATTTGTACAGGGAGTATCTGAAACTAGACAACGCATGTTGAGCGAAACGGCCTACCAAAAAAAAGCTAATTACAACACTTTATCATTCAATAACTCCTGGAATGCACTGCGCTTCACAGATTGATGATATTGTGAGAGTATCAGAGAGAGAATTTTCCCTAGAACATGTCTTTGCTATAATTAATTTACACAGAAACAACAGACAGGTTTCCACACAATTATGGCTGGTAATTACATTTTTTGACATCCTCCCCTGATTTTTATGGTAAGAGATTGGTATGTGAATGTTAACCATTTTTCACTAAGATTACTGTGTTGTCTTACTTTGCTTCCTCGCATCACATTTTAACATCTAGAACAGGTTGTGTTTGACATTAAAATGTGATATTGTGACATATCTTTACAGCCTCTAACTTATCACCAGTCAGCAAACTATATTGCTTGTCTTGCTCTCTACCCCTCCAGCCGCTCAGGTTCACACCACAACAGCTGATTGGAGTTTATCTCAAAAACATATCACATTTGATACTAAGAAGAGACTAGCGACTTACTCAAAGTTCAACAGGTTTTGTGTGCTATACAGTTAGCTTCACCACTTTACTTTCTTGCCATTTTCCTCCACTATTGAAGCTCTTTACACATTCAGTGCAAGATGTGCATACTGCATGTTAACACAAGTGAAGGATACATGATAACTAGCTGACACAAGCACGTGTGTCCTTTAAAGTGGTCAAGAATGCAAAATGAGGAAAATTATTTCTTGTTTTTACCAACACACAAATACATTTGATTGCACAGGATCTACTAGTTCTAACTAGCAACTTCTTAACTGGCAGTGGTGTGTTAAGAAGAATATCTTATTTACTGCACCTTTCTGAAACGTGACAATGCAGCAGATATTAGCGTTGCCTTATACATTTTCCTGCACAGGGATGCAAAACACATCTAGTGTAATCTTGCCATATCACAGCACAGAGCTCGCTGCAATCATATTGAAGTGTATATTGAAAAATATCCTGAACATCACCAAAGACACTTATATGAGATATACTACAGCCATGTGGTTGTATACACAAGATCACAGACATAGGTGGACTGCTGGCAGAATATGTCATAATTATTTGAAATTGTTTCAAGTAAGAAGCAAATCCTGGTCCAATATTCAACTTCCAAAAGTGTGATGTAGAGACTTGAAGCCACCAGTCACATATACTGAGAGAGGACTCCACAGTGTTAAAAAAACAAAACTTAATAAAAAATGCATATTCAGATTCTGACATTTTTAACTGGGGGAAGAAATCCAACTACAAAGGATATGAAGAAACAACAAGGTTATGAAATAACCATCCTCCCTCAAGGCCTTTTCATTTAATTATGTAAAGATAACAAAGATAAAATCATCAATCAAATCAAACCATACATAAGTCAAGCCTGGACCGCACCTTTTTCATATTTAAACAAATCTGTTAAATCTACAAAAGTTACATAAACAATTCCAATGAAATTGTATTTCTACAGAACCTGACTTAGTATTTTAAACTGTTGGCCTTCTCTCTGCCCCCTTTCACACGAAAACGACCCATAACTCAGCAGACTTCCTGCTGCTCCATGTGCTGACAGAGAAAGGAAGTGTTGCTAGTACACACTGCATACCAGTTATGACATTTATCTTGAATATACTACAATGGAATCTGTTGTTTAAACATGACGGAGCTGTGCTTTTTCTGTTCCATCAGTCACTTAGACATAAATGGGGAGGCTAAGGGCTACTCGCCACTGACTTCCTGAGAACCAAATCAGAGGGCTGCTGTCTCTTCCACTCTGAATTTTTCCTGGTGGGATTGGACAATGGGTTTCCATTACACTGAGCCACAAAATGACAAAACACACAATCTCTCAAACTTTGGTGAACAATGAAATCGCTTAAGCACCCCAGCTGGGTGATGTGGAGCTGCTCAGATAACCGTGCAACAGAGCTGTGAGCATAATCCAGTGATAATTTCTGTAAGAGACAGAGACCCCCTCCTCATTTTTGTTGGGCAAAAGAGTGTGTGAGGTATGGGAGTGTGATGGGGGTTCTCAAGACTGCCTTAGTGGAAACTATTATGCCAGGGCAATTGCAATACGGAGACGCATGTCCAGCTATTGGAATATTTCCTGAACTGAATGGGTAATTAAGGAATGAAGATTACTGTAATGTTATTCTCCATTGACGTAGAATGACAACACTGTTTCCTATCGCCGTAACACACAGGCAGAAGCACACATGGAGCCATACACACGCACGTAGACTCACATACAGTATGCACATACACAGTTGAGAGACTTTAAGTCAACATGACAGGGGACAGTCAAACAAAACATGACATAAGACCAGAGACATTAGAGACATTATAGGGATATTCCGGCAATTTATTATTGCTTCTGAGAGACATTCAAAATCGATGGCAGACTTTTTCGTGGCCTGTATGGGTCATGTTCCAAAAATTACACTAGGATGTTTTCTTAAAGCATCGCTGCCTGGTAAACGTCGATGTACACCGTTTGTAACGCAGGCTTTCTGTCAATATATTTGTCTCCAAGCCCAAACCGAGATGATGACATTATCAGGGTTATTTTTCCAAGCTCCCTCCAGAGCCACAGAAAACATTTTACAGCTGTTTTCACAGACTGAGTTGTACTCGCTGTGATGAGTAAACTGATGCTGATGTGTAAAATCAATGCGGTGCCCCTTTAAACTCCTAAATTTTAGATTTACATAGGGAAACAGACACACACATTAGCATAATAGGGCTTACACACAAGAAAGCATTGCACATGTGCTCATACAGACACACCCCCTATCCAAATAGGCTGCACACACCTCCAGTCCAAATACTCACAAGGACACCTAGGTTATGGGTCTGCTCAGTGTAACCATATAAATATCGTCATCGTAATTACTGAGATTTGGACATTGGTCATTCTTTAAATAAATCAAAAACATACCATCCACAACCCAAGTGCCAGAATCCGCCTGGAGACACCTACTGCCCAGGCTTCTTTAAGTTTAAAAAGATTCAGTATTCAATGTCAACCTGCCCACGTCGGTAACGGAGCGACCCGCAAAAAAAATCACTATCAGGAGTTTTTTACTGTTGCTGAATAAATAGGATCCTTGAAGAATACATTCTAGCTGCTATGACTCGTATTGATATACAAAGGGTACGATGATGAGTCAGGCTTTTAACTGTTGATTCACAGCTCGTCAAAGTGAACTAAAGTCCGCAGAACAAACAGAAAAGCAAAAGAAGTAGAAACTCACCGGAGAAGTTCTCCAGCCGTCTTGCTCAGTGCTGCTGTCTCAGTATATCGTCATGTTAAAGCTACACAAGAGGTTAGAAGGGGGGAGAGAAGTGAAATGTCCGATCCTTCTAAACACAAATAAACACTCTGCCCTCATGCAAAATGTCCTCTTTGGAATCTGCCAGCCGTTCGTGGCAATAATAATGGCTTTATGTTGCGTCTTTACGCACTTCGTTTCCATCTGGTGAACGTTTTTCATCAATCGGAATCATTTGAAAACTTCGGTGGAAGGGACTTATTGAGACCCCCTGATGTAAAAAAGTAGAGACCAAGTATTTGTCTCCCCCCACCAACACCACAACATCTCTTGTGGAAAATTGGATCACTTTACCTACAACGGGACCCACTTCCCCCCAGAAACGTGATGGACAGATTGCGTGAAAAGTCAAATTGCCTCAAGGAATGTATGCGAAGGAATTTCCCTGCATGAAGAACATATTTAACAAGCCTTTAAGCTGTCAGGAATGCTTTGTGGTCTGCTGGCCAAAGGGAGAAAAATATGTTAATAATGTAAGCTACTGCCATACCAAATATGGCAATATTGTTACGTCTGAGCTCTGGTGCGCATCTGGAAACGCTTAGCTCCTCTGAATAAAGGCACTGGAAAGCCAGAAATAGACGCTGTTAAACGTATTTCTGCCCACACCTTTAGACTCACTGAGAAAAACCTACAGCTATTTTAAACGTGGCCACCGCAACATGCTATAAAAATGTATTTAACAATGTGCTTTAATCAGCAGAAACTGTACTGACGCAAAAATGACGAGTAGCACAATATTCCTACGGGTACACTGTAGAACTGATACTGAAATCACTTTAAAGTGAACTTATAACACTTTTTCTACAACCTTAGATATTACTTTAGGAATATTACTTTAGGATGTGATCTATCATTTCTGTGATATTTTAAATCACAACAGTTGCAAGCAGCTTTAAAGTTTTTTAACCTCTCCACTGCACTGAAGTTATTTATATCAAATATCAAATGATCTCTTTCACTCATAATGTATGTAAGTATGAAATGAAAAGTGGGGGGAAATAACCCCTGAATTAACTAATGACAGAAAAAAGGTAGAGTAAAGCACCTAAAGCCCACTACCTTTATAGAAAAGTCCAACTGAACTTGAGTTGATAGATGTGAGAAGCGAGCAGAGGAAGAAAATGAAAGGGGGGATAAACAAGAAGGGAAAAATGTGAGACGGAAAAGTGTGTTCAGATGGGATCCAGGGGGGAAAAATCCATCTGAGAAAGAAAAAAGAGAAAGGTTTAGACAGGGTGGAGCTTAGGTCTTGGATGGAAAATGCGCCGAGAAACATTCCTGGCATAGTTTGGGAACAGTTCAGCAGGCAGCCCAGGAACGACGTCAGCTTCCCACTATGGTATAAAAGTCCGGAGGTGGCCGGACCTCAGCAGACTGCAACCGCTTTACCGAGAGCTTCATCTACTCTAAAGGAGCCTCTAACACTAGAGACTAGACACCAGCAAACAAGAGAGACAGACGACTGAGTGAGGGAATACTTAAGGACTCCTCCGAAGACAGACTATACTTACTTTTCATAAAACTGGGAACAGGATTCCTCTTGAACACACGGAAGACAATTTATCCAAGATGCTGATCCTTACTGTTGTCGTTATCTGCCTTGGAAGCCTGAACTTGGTGAGTTATTGTTCCATTACAGTCTGACAGAGAAAAGTTTCAGCAGTTATAACTTTCTGTATTCAGCCTAAGGAGAGGGACATAGGCCATAGACATAGACAAGTGTGTTTCTTGCGACGGGATGAAATGCTGAGAGATTTGATATACGTTTTGGGACATTCTGTGTGCCATGACTTCAAAAGTTTCAGTCTTTAATAGATTCTGTTGTTGGCTGTATAGGTCTCCTCCTCCTCCTCCTGCCCCTCCATGTGTGATTGTCCGCTGGAGATGCCCAAGTGCGCACCCGGGGTGAGCGTCGTCCTGGACGGCTGCGGCTGCTGCAAAGTTTGCGCCAGGCAGCTGAACGAGGACTGCAGCCTGACCGAGCCTTGTGACCACACTAAAGGGCTGGAGTGTAACTTTGGGGCCAGCTTTGCTGCTGCTACTACTCGTGGCATCTGCCGAGGTATGTACAAAGACCATTCAGCTCCAGATGTGCATGCTTTTGAATTAGTCTGCAGTAGTTTTTTCTTAAATAAGGGGCTTTAATTCAGGAGTATGGGGATGTGTGTGATTTCAGCACTGTGGAATGCAGATAGAAGGAAACTTAGACTAAACCTCAGAGTACAGACAGCCCACTGTGGAGGGAAAAGACTCCTCAGGCAGCCTGAAGAATTTCACAGTTTAACTGATCCTTACCTGGCAGCCATGTGATGTCTTCAGCAGACTTCTCTGAGCAGAGCAGGAAAGAATAACATTCCTTTCCTCCTGTTTTTTCTCCCGCTGCAGCCAAGTCAGAGGGCAGACCATGCGAGTACAACAGCAGGATCTACCAGAACGGAGAGAGTTTCCAGCCCAACTGTAAACACCAATGCACATGCATTGATGGGGCAGTGGGATGTGTCCCGCTGTGCCCGCAGGAGCTCTCCCTGCCCAACCTGGGCTGTGCCAACCCCAGACTGGTCAAGGTAGCAGGCCAGTGCTGCGAGGAGTGGGTGTGTGATGATGGCAAGCAGACAGACATCCTGGAGAAGATCTTTGGCAAAGACATGCTGACTGATGAGTTGGAAAGAGACCTCACCAACAGGAACGAGCTCATTGCTATCGTCAAGGGAGGACTCAAGTCTCTAGCTGGTAAGAAAGTTGTCTTTCATCCTGGAAATTCTTTGTTTTTCTTCTGGATTCTTAACATATGTAGAATTCTAAGATGCTAATGTTTTTTTATTTCTTCTTTCCATGGCAGCATTCAGACCACAGCCTGAAGTCCACATGTTTGACAGTCAGAAGTGCATCGTCCAAACCACACCCTGGTCCCAGTGCTCCAAGAGCTGTGGAACAGGCATCTCCACCAGAGTCACCAACAACAACAGCGAGTGCAAGCTGGTCAAAGAGACAAGAATCTGTGAAGTGCGGCAATGCACCCAGTCACCTTACTCCAGTCTGAAGGTAAGCCTGAGCCACCATGACTGAATGTGATGGAAGCATGCATGATACTGAAAATGCTTCACTGCTGGGCCTGAGTACACAACTAATCTCCATATCCATCTTGTTTATTCTTCTGCAGAAAGGAAAGAAGTGCAGCAGAACCAAGAAGTCCAGCCAGCCAGTGAAGTTCACTTACGCCGGCTGCTCCAGCCTGAAGAAGTACAGGCCCAAGTACTGTGGAGCCTGCATGGACGGCCGCTGCTGCAGCCCCCATGACACCAGAACCATCCGCGTCAAGTTCCGCTGCGAGGACGGCGAGACCTTCAACAAGAACATCATGATGATCGAGTCCTGCAAGTGCACCTACAACTGTCCCCATGCCAACGAAGCCTCCTATCCTTTCTACCGCCTCTCCAACGACATCCACAAGTTCAGAGACTGATTGGTGAAGAACGTCCAAACCCCTCAGCAAGAGAAAGAGATCATCAGCAGTACTGGCAGCCAATGGCAGTCCAGTTGAATGCAGGGGTGTAAATAGACTACAAATCAACTACCAGCTTCTTGTTGTAACTAGATTCCCAAGGAATTGTGGGCTTACATCATGAGGACTCAATGAAGTGCACTGTTTGCTGTGACTACATCAGCATTCTTAACTAAGAACTGCTTCATATTAATGGAGCATCCAAGTAGCTTCGTTATGGAGCAAGATGTAATTAATATTTGTACATTTATGCTAGTCGCTGATATCAATTCACTGTGTATATTTTGATCCTTTACATCAGACATGACACAGACTGTAGACTTGTGTGTGTATATGTAGATATGCACATGCGTAACTTCAATTAGCATACCATCCTGTATCTTAAGAACAAGACACCGAAATGTAACCTCTGGACTTGTTTAACAAGTGTGTGGTTTCATTCCTTCCTGACGTGGGCATTATTGTTCATGTTTTGTGGCAGCTATTGAACTCCCTTCATGAAAAAGACAAAGCGAAACATGTCAAAGGATGAATGAATGTTTTTATTATTGTTATTAATATTATTTATCAAAAATGTAGCTACTTTATTTGGATATTATGTGTCATACTGGAATAAATTGTAAAATGATTTAATTTTATATGCTACAAATAAAACTGATTTATTTATGAAATATGACACTGCCTGAGTTCAGTCTGTTCCAACTACACTGCAGGACGGTACAAACAAAGTACAGTCCTCACATTTGAGGGGCTGAGTAAGGGTATTTAAACTCACTATTTCCAGAGAGAATCCTGCTGTTATATCATTCTGTAGACCCAACAGATTCTCAGACAGACACCGAGAAGGGTCAGTCTGTTCTTATATAACACAACCTTGGACGCTCTCTTTCCTGACTTTCTGTGCTTTGGAATGTCATTCTGCAGCAAGCTAGCTTGCTTTCATTTGATCTGGCTAAGCCATACACTTGACTGATTCTGAGAGGGGGGAAAAAAAGATTAAGTCCACAAGTAGCAATGAGTATGGGAGTATGCCAAGAATCTTAAGTGCTGCTCTGAATGGGCTGGGATTAGACACCATGCAAGAAGGACAATGACTATTATTGTATACAATGGGCTGTCTACAAAGAATGCATTCCCAGGGAAGATTTTTTTCACACAGCGGAATAGCACTACCAAATTGACCTAATTCATTAGCAGTTGCCTTTAAACGTGAATTAGTTGCATTGGCCTCTGTTGGCTCTTAAACTGCAGGGGTCTGCTTAACAGTTGTAAACAGCCTTGCGAAGTAAGGAGGGCTCAAGTCTCCCTTCCAGGTTTCAGTTTAACGGGCATTAAGAAATACTATTATGAGGTAGAAAGG